TTTTTCAAAGAGAGAGTGAGAGAGGGGGACAGAGAGAGAGAGAATTTTAACATTTATTTATTTTTCCTTAGTTCTCGGCGGACACAACATCTTTGTTGGTATGTGGTGCTGCTGAGGATCGAACCCGGGCCGCACGCATGCTAGGCGAGCGCGCTACCGCTTGAGCCACATCCCCAGCCCTGATTCTTCCTTTTGACACTGAAAAAGGGATATTCCGTCTCATTGTAGCAATTTCTAGTTTGGGTTGTTGGTTTTCTTGTCCCAGTATTTTAGATATCGTTGTTTTCTTTACAGGTTTGAAATTTCATTTTATTTGTGTTTATTCAGAAGAACAAAATGTTTTCACTAGGAAATTCGGTGTGGAAAAAATATGTCAGTCTTCTCTATTGAATACAATGTGTTCATTATAAATACTGTTGCAGGGTAAGACTTGGTATTGGCCAAATAGAGTCAGAGTGTGTTTTGTGTTTTCCAGGAATATTAACTCCTTTAGCTTGGTTCATTGTCAAGATCTGTTTATATCAGCATTAGACTTCTGATTATGATGGAAGGAATGATTGCTATTTTTTTCTAAGAATTTAATTTCAGGGCTGGGGATGTGGCTCAGTGGGGCTGGGGATGTGGCTCAAGCGGTAGCACGCTCGCCTGACATGTGTGCGGCCCGGGTTCGATCCTCCAGCACCACGTACAAACAAAGATGTTGTGTCCGCCAATAACTAAAAAAATAAATAAAAAAAGAATTTAATTTCATTGTACTGCTATGTGTAACTAATAAAAAAAAGAAAAAGAGGAAAAAAAAGAATTTAATCTTTATTTTGTGTATTTGTTTGTTGTTGTTTGTTTGTATGTGGCGCTGAGGATCGAACCCAGGGCCTCACCTGTCCTAGGCAAGTGCTCTACCACTGAGCCATAACCCTAGCCCGGGAATGTTTCTTTTATAACACTATTTTTTTCTCTTTTTTTTTTCCCCTTAATTTTAAAAAATTTATTCGAATTTGTTATAACACTAATTTTTCTTAAGTTTTCATAATTTTAGAATTTGTAAAATATATCTTTGGTTTAGTTATGTATTTTTTGGTGCAGGGGCTTGAACTGTAGCTTGGTTTGAAGTACCTCGTTGAAAGTCTGCAGAATTGTGCAACAGAGGCAAGGGCAGCATCATATCAGGAATCTAGAGACCTTAATTTTAACCTTTTCTGTTTCCAACTTGCTAAAGCTCCTAGGGAAGGGGACTTTTAGATTTCCCGGATGTCAACATTCTTCTTCTTTTTTTTTTTTTTTAGATGTTGATGGATCTTTATTTTACTCATTTATTTATATGTGGTGCTGACACTCAAACCCAGTGCCTCACACATGCTAGGCAAGTTCTACTACCACTCAATTACAGCCCCAGCCCGGATGTCAGTATTCTTATCTGTGAAAGAGGGTTGGATCAGATCTTTAAGTCAACTACCCTTACCCCTCTTAAACTTTTTAAGGTTCCTTTTTGGGGACTTTGTACTTTTTATATTTAAAATTTAGGTAGGCCATGCAATTAGGTATGGGGTGTGTGTGTGTGTGTGTGTGTGTGTGTGTGTGTGTGTGTGTGTGTAAGAGAATGAGAGAGAGAGAGAGAGAGAGAGAGAGAGAAGAAAGATGAAGAAGGAGGGAAAGAGAGACTTAAATGTTAAAAACAGAAAATAGGCATTTGGTTTGGTTTGTACCTGGTCAGAAATGCCATTCAGGAGATACGATTCAGGAGGAGAGCCTTACAGAAGTAAAATCCTAGTTTCTTTAAAGTTCTGGCCTTCCTGCATAGAATGTGTAATTTACCTTCAGCAAGCTCTGGCCACCATGGAAATTTGGGAACCCTGGAAAGTTCATGATTAATCAATCATGCAGACACAGCTTTCTCTGGTCCCGATTACCTACATCCTTACTTTTAGAAGATTTTTAAAAAAAATATTTATTCTTAAGTTTTAGGTGGACACAATATCTTTATTTTACATTTATGTGATGCCGAGGATCGACCCAGTGCCTTGTGCATGCTAAGTGAGCACTCTACAACTGAGCCACAACCCCAGCCCTAGAAGATATGTTTTTAAATTGATATGTGTGGATTTTGCTCCTCTTCTAAAAGAGGTCAGAGAAGGATAGGCCTGTGTTTTAATTCTCTTTTAAAAAAAATTATAATTTAGTTGTATTTGGACACAATACCTTTATTTTATTTATTTATTTTTATGTGGTGCTGAGGATAGAACCCAGGGCCTCACATATGCTAGGTGAGCGCTCTACCACTGAGCCACAACCCCAGCGCCATCCCTCCCCCCATTTTAATTCTTTAATATGTGACGTTTTGAAGATGAAGGGAGGAAAAGGAAAATCTTATTCCTTGATTCTTGGGTTCCAGATGTGATTTCTCAGGTGAGGGTTGGGAGAGAGTATGAACAGAAAGGGAGTGTATGTGGTTTCAGAAGAGAGGATAATTTGTATTATTGCTTTGGTATGTTTTAGTCATGATATTTTAATTTATATTTAAATAAAGTGAAAGAAACCATTAGTTTTTTTTTTTTAAGTTGAAAAAAATGAGAAGATTGCTTAACACGTGGGAGACTCATTCTCTAGCACCACACGGAAAAAAGAAACGGGAGAGTCTTGTGGTGTTCAGAGGTTGGGGAGCCAGTCATATGGGATAAGCTGTGGGGGGCATTGCCTCACGTAACCTGCATGTGGAAGGGCTCACAGGGAAAAGTGAATTCAGAAGATATCTGCTAATTCTTGTAAAAATATGACAGGGCTGGGTATAACTCAGTGGTAGAGTGCTTGCCTAGCATGTGTGTGGCCTTGGGATTCATTCTCAGCACTGAGAAAAGGTGTCTATATGTGTGTATTAGAAATTAGTATATTATACTATCTGGGATACTCTGGTACTGTATTATCATACATCATATACATAGAATACTGTAATAATCATTACAAATACAGTTTTTAAGATAACTTAATGCAACAAAACAATGTAATTTGCAAGATTTTAGAACTGTTTTTTATAGGGCAGACCTTTAAAAAAAATTTTTGGCTTCTAGGATCAAACCCAGGGACTTCTGTACGCCAAGCAGGTGCTCTTCCTCTGACTGTAGTTCCAGCCTGTGGCAGAAATTGTAAACACTGCTTAATCCTATCCTGTGAAAATCATTTATCTTTATTATTAGTTAATTTTAATTTTAAAGTTGTCTGGACTTTCTTTGTGATAAGGAAACAATATTTTCCTAAGGACAGTTTGGACACCATTTTTTTCCTTGATATATATATTTGTGGAGAACTTACATTGGATCTTAATTGTTGATTTAATTAATTTAAAGTTTTACTCTCATCTGCAAGCTTATTTCAGAATTCTGGTTACATTAGATGCTTTTTAAATTTTACTAGCATCTTTTTAGGATTAGTGCAAATTAGATTCTCATTTTCTTTGTAAATCCTGCAGAAGTTTTAAAAAACTGATATGTGTCAAAAACTATAGTCAGGAGTAGATAAATAGATATTTTATGATATTCTCTAAAGGGGGGTAAGTTTACTTTTGTAGAATGCTGGGAGGAATAACATTTAATTTCTTTGCTTGTTTTGGTGCTACAAATGATATTCTAAGGTATTTTTGATTTTTAAACATGCATGTCTTGTTTTCCTTTCAGCAATGTAAGCATATATATTTTAAAATATTTGCAAATGCTTAAACATTGCTTTCCTTCCCCCTGTCTAGTCTTCTGCGCCCCACTCCCCTTTTTTTTGGCAAAATCATTGTCATATTTAAAGTAATTTCTAAAAATTGCTTGAAAAACATAATTTGTAAGACATTGATGAAGAAATTGCTAGAGAAATAATGTGTCCCTGTATTCCTGACTACAGCTTCACTACATTGTAAGATCTGTGAAAGCAAAGATAGTATCCGGCTCTTTATTTTCACCAAAACATCTAGTTAAGCTTACATGATGGTGCACACCTGTAATCCCAGCTGTTCAAAAGGCTGGGGCAGGAGAACCACAAGTTTAATGTCAGCCTCAGTGAATTAGGGAGACTCTGTCTCAAAAATAAAAAGACTGGGGATATAGCTCAGTGGTAGAGTACCCCTGGATTCAAGCCCAGTATTACACGCAAAAAAAAATTTAGTTTATTAATAGATGAATCTTTATTGAAGCATGTTGCTTAATTGAGTACTTTTTTTCAACATTTTATTATGAAAATTGTAAACATACAGCAGGGGTGGAAGAATTTTATAACAAACCTCAATAAACACATCATCTAGATTCTGCCATTAACATTTTATAATACTTGTCTTATGATGTAATATATTTTTGGTCCACTTCAAGGATTTTTCTGGCTATCACAGAACCTAATTTGTTTTCAGAGATCATAGTTTGAGTTGGTGAAAGAGAAACGGTAAGGAGTTTGTTTTAGATCAGATGTAGCTCTGTTACTGACCTCAAATACAGTGCTTATCGATAGATAAACCAATCTCTCTCTCTCTTTTTTTTTTTTAAGAGAGAGAATTTTAATATTTATTTATTAATTTTTTTTAGTTATCGGCAGACACAACATCTTTGTATGTGGTGCTGAGGATCAAACCCGGGCCGCACGCATGCCAGGCGAGCGTGCTACCACTTGAGCCACATCCCCAGCCCTCTTTTTTTTTTTTTTTAATATTGTTTTTAGTTGTCAATGGACACAATACTTTCATTTTATTTATTTACTTATTTAAATAAATAAATTTATTTAATGTGGTGCTGGGGATCCAACCCAGTGCCTCACACATGCTAGGCAAGTACTCTTACCCCTGAGCCCAGATAAACTGATTTCCTACTAATGTTCCAATGATTTTAATACTACCTTCAGCATTTAATATAATCTGATGGAAAGTGGTCAGTTGCTAAGATGACAGTGCCAGTGCACAATGTTGTCCTGACTGTTGCCACCATAGAAGGCTACTGCAGCATTTCGAGTGGCTTCATCTCTTGTTGTTCTCTGTTTAGGAGTCGCCCATCGGAGCCAGAGCAGCGAAGGAGTCAGCTCTCTCAGCAGCTCACCTTCCAACAGCCTCGAGACACAGTCCCAGTCTCTCTCCCGCTCCCAGAGCATGGACATTGATGGCGTCTCCTGTGAGAAAAGGTAAAGAAGAGCTAGCTCTCTAATGTGCCCTTTTATTTAAGGAAAGGGCAGGATTCATTTCATTCAACCTCTCTGGTCCAGACTGTGGTCTAAAACGCCATCCCGGAGACCTGTGCCAGTCCTTAACAAATTAGAACCAGATTTCTTAAATTGAAGGGTCTTTCTATTACTCTGAAATGTTCTTCATACATTTTTAAAAAATATTTTTTATTAATTGTTGATGAAATTTTTTATTTTTATTTATTTGTATGTGGTACTGAGAATTGAACCCAGTGCCTCACACATGCTAGACAAGCACTCTACCACTAAGTAACAATCCCAGCCCCATTTTTTTTGAGTTATAGGTTTTTTATGAAATTATGGTATGGGTGGTTAAAAAAGTGTTTTCAATGTCTATTTTGTAAATACAAAGCTAACAAGCATATGCCAGTCCCTAAAAGATTCTTCAAAGTTTTCAGTAAAAGTTTAAAATTTGGAAGATTTCAGAAAGGTAAGCTAAGTACCTCAGTGCTCCATTTGGATCAGGGTGTCCCAGAACAGAGCTGGCTTGAGCTACAAGTGTGCTGTGAATGGGTGATAGAGTGCCTTAGGTGTTGATTCCTTTAATCCTCGGGCAAATCAGACTTCTAATGTCTATTTCTCCTGCCCAAAGGCAGCACTCTGTGTTTACCTCAGCAGGTCAGACAGATATCATCTTGTATGTGTATCATGATATGAAAAATGTTTCAAAGCACTGATATACAGCCTTAGCTATTGTTGGAATCAAGGTGAAGAGCTAGATCAGAGATCATCACATAGGATAAAAATTTAAGGACGACTGTTGTCGTAGAGGAAAAAATAGAAAATAATCTACCCTACAGAACAAAAATAATCATGTTTTTATCATCTTTGCTCTGGGTTTAGGGATTTTTTTTTAAAAATCAACTCATTTCATGTCCACAAGGTAACTATCATGTCGAGTAAGGACCTAGATTTACACCATTTCTGTCGCTTAGATACCTTAAGCCAAGAATATTTATACAAGTAGATCTATACCTGTATTATCGTTAGGCATCTAGCAGAATCAAATACAAGTCATCCAAGAACTCAGAGAATTTCCTTAGAAAAAGTTCCAAGAAGTTAGCTACAGTGATGCCTGTAATTCCAACTACTTGGGAGACGAAGATAGGAGGATCTCGAGTCTGAGCAGCAGTGGGCAACTGAGTGAGACCATGTCTCAGAAGTTCAAAAAATAAAAAGAAACGTGAGACCACAGTCCCAAATCACAAAACACATTAGAAAACAAGTCACTGTAAGAGTTACCAGGTGGAAAATTTGATATAAGAGCTTAACCATTGAATAAAAGTAGCTAAAGAGAGAGTTGATAAGTTGAAAGCTACAGCTAATGAAATTACCTAGAATACACCACAGAGAACAAGAGTGAAAAATATGAAGCATATTCAGAGATACAAAAGATGGAGATCAATATAAATCTAAAAAGTCCAAAGGAGAAATTAGAGAAATAAACAGATTCCCTCACCCAACTCTTTTCCTGTATGTTTTTCTCTACTGATTTGGAAGCTGTTATCAAAAAGATAAGGCTGAACCAGATACAGTAGCTCACACCTGTAATCCAAGCAGCTCAGGAATCTGAGGCATGAGGATCACAAGTTCAAAGCCAGCCTCAGCAACTTGGTGAGACCCTGTCTGAAAGTAAAATAAAATAGTATGGTATGCAGCTCAGTGGTTAAGCACCTCGGAGTTCAATTCCTTGTACCAAAAAAAAAAACAAAACCAAGAATTCTTTTTAAAGAGTTGGTAAATAATATAAATCCTCAGATTGTGGAAGTCCAGAAAATCATGAGCAGGATAAACAAAGTTAAATTGTAACTACAATATTTATAGTGAAATTATAAAATGCCAGTGACAGAGCCCTTTAGAGCAAGCAGGGAGAACATCAGAAATGACTGTTAGGTGTCTCAATGATGAAAGCCAAAGATGATAAAATAATAGTGTTAAATGCTGAAAAAAGTAACTACCCACTGAAAATTATGTCCCCTTGTAGAATTGTCTTTTTTTTTTAAATAGAGAGATTTAAAATATATTTTTTAAAAAATATATTTATTCTAGTTTTCGGTGGACACAACGTCTTTATTTTATTTCTAATATAAATAAAATAACCCAGCGCCCCGCCGCGCATGCTAGGCCAGCGAGCTACTGCTTGAGCCACATCCCCAGCCCTGTAGAATTGTCTTTTAAGAGCAAGTTTAAAACACAGATATTTATAGAGTTTAGGAAACACAACAACAAAAAATACTCACCTGCTGATCTGCCCCACTCCTAATTTCCAGCCTTGTTAGAAGATCCCAATGTATTTTTTGTTTGTTTGTTTGTATTGGGATTTGAATCCAGGCGTGCTTTACCACTGAGTTACATCCCTAACTCTTTTTATTTTTTAAGACAGGGTCTCATTAAGTTGCTTAGGGCCTTGCTAAATTGCTGAGACTGGCCTGGAATTTGTGATCCTCTTGCCTGACTCCCAAAACACTGGGATTACAGGTGTATACCACTGTGCCTAGATGGACCCTAACTTTTAACAAATGTAGTTTTGTTTTTAATCTTTATTTTGTTTATTTATTTTTATGTGGTGCTGAGGATCAAACCCAGCGTCTCACACGTTCGAGGCAAACTCTTTACCGCTGAGTCACAACCCCAGCCCCAACAATAGAGTTTGTTTGTTAAAATAGAGAATGAAGTATGATTCATAATAGACTGCAAGGCCCTGGGTTCACTCCCCAGCCCCACCCCCCCAAAAATGTCCTTTTCAGGGATCTAAGAACTAATGTCTGAGATGAAAAGAAAGAAAGAGTGAAGACTGAAGAAAATAATAAACATATGGTACATGTGAACAAACCCTGATGTATAGAATGCTCATAGCAGTTTATAACACAGCAATGGGAGAGGAGAGTAAAAATAATCAGATAGAATTAAAATATTGAACAAGAGCAGGTAAGCCAGAAGAGGGTTGGTTAGGGCACCCTCGAATTCTTGTATTACTTGGGAAGAGGGTAAATGTTATGCTTTGAATTAAAAATACTTGATAAAGTTCAAGAGTAACCATTAAAAGAATAGACATACAGTATAGTTGTGCCCCCATCCACAGGGAATATTGGGTTCAATCCTCAGCACCACAACTTGGAATATTCTAAGACCCCTAGTGGATGCCTAAAACCACAGATCATTTTGAACTGTATACTGAGCTGTCTTTTCATATACCCAAAACATTGCCGCAAAGTGCTAGAGTGGCTCCTTTTTCCATGTCGTGTGGGGTACCTCCCAAATAACACTGTTCTTGGATTTGGGGGCCATTATTAAATAAAATAAGAGTTACTCAAACACAAGTACTGCAATACCTCTGCCATCATCTGATAAACAAGCTAAGTGAACAATGAGTGGGTAGCCTGTCATGTGTGGATGAGCCAGACAAAGGGATGATTCATGTCCTTGGCAGAATGAAGCAGGTTGGTACAAGTCAGCATGCTACAAGTGCAATTTAAAACTGTAAATTATTTCTGGGACTTTCCATTTTCTGCACCGGGACCATAGTTGATTGAAACTGAGGAAAGTAAAACCATGGATAGGAGGGGACTACTGTTCCTCTCCCAAATCAATAGGGGAGCAACATGGAACAAGGCAGGGGGGTAGGGTAGAGGAAACTTAAGTTTATGGGAAAAAATACAAATTTTTAGAAAGGGACAAACATCACAAAATCAGATAGTTTAACAAATCAAAATATGTCACTGATCATCGTAAATCAGTTAAATTCATAGGTTGAGCAAAAACAAAACAGTTCATCTTTGTATCTGTTTACACAAGGCAATACCTGGAACACAGAAAGATGGAAAGCTAAAGGAAGAAGAGGACCACGTAGAAAAAATTGGGATAAACCTACTGATGAGTTAGACAGTAAGGCATAAAGAATTTATAAGAAATAAGCATTTTATAATGATAGGTGTACAGTTTGCTGGCGAGATATAACAGTTTAAAAATGTGTATTCACTTGGTAATATGATTTCAACATCTAATAAAGCAGGTATTGACGACACAAGAAGAAATGACACATAATGGTAATGGGAGATTACCATTACCGTTTTTCAGCCAGTAATAGATCAAGGAAGGTAAACATCTGTAAGCACCAAAAGGCAACTCAGCAGTGGTGATTTAGTTGAAGGAGGCTGAGCCTTGCGTCCTAGTGTGAGCACATAGCCTTCACTACACTCCTCAGTCAGGAAGTTTCAGGAGTCAGAACCATTGGTTCATGTTTTCTGACTCATCCATTGTTAGAAAATTAACATAGGAATTTTAAAAACCTACATACATTAGACATTTTAAATACCTGTCAAAGAAGAGATCATAATGGAAATTTGAAAGTACTCAGAGTTGAAAAATAATAAATATGTATCAAAGTGACAACTTGAGAAAAATGTTTAAATTTCCATTTAAAATGGGAAATACCTGCACTCTTAGTGGTCTTTTCCTGACTCATTTGCTTTCATTTTTCTATAGCATTTATTATTTAATATACTATATGCTTTGCTTATGAGAAATTATAGTTTATTTTCTTCCTCTCTCTAACGAGGATATACGCTTTGTGAAGTAGGTTTTTTTTTCGTCTCTTGATCATCAGTATCAGACACTTAGAACAGTGTCTACACAAAATGGGTTCTCAGTATTATGTATTACTGACAAAGAGAATTTCATGAAAAAGTAAAAATTTACAAGGTGCATATGAATTTGAAATCTTGGTGGAAAATGAGATTTCTCAAAAAACAATTCTCCCCAAATGTGGCTCAACAAGAAAGAGATAACCCAAATAAACACCAGGAAATGCACTGACTGGGTATTTTTCTGCTATATGATTTTGCAGATATTCAATTGTATAAAAAAATTTCAGATAATTAAAAAAAAAAAGGAACATTCCAACTTAATATATGAGGCTAATATGACCTTAATATTTAAAACCAAGCCTGGGACTGGGCTTGTGACTCAGTGGTAGAGCACTCACTTAGCATGTGTGAGGCGCTGGGTTTGATCCTCAGCACCACATAAAAGTAAATACATAAAATGAAGATATTGTGTTTAATTACAACTAAAAAAAAATAAAAATATTTAAAAAAATTTTTAAAACCAAGCCCGGTATGGTAGAACACGTCTATAATCCCAGAGGCCCTGGAGGCTGAGGCAGGAGGATCACAAGTTCAAAGCTGGCCTCAGCAAAAATCGAGGTGCTAAAGAAACTCAGTGAGACCTTGTTTCTAAATAAAATTTTAAAAAAAGGGGTTGGGGTTGTGGCTCAGTAGCAGAGTGCTTGCCTCACACATATGAGGCACTGGGTTCGATCCTCAGCACCATATAAAAATAAATAAACAAAATAAAGATATTGTGTCCATCTTAAAAAAAAAAATAGGGCTGGGGATGTGGCTCAGTGGTTGAGTTTCCATGAATTCAATCCTGGTATTAAGAACAAAGCAAAAAAAACCTATGTGAGTAATATAAAAGAATATTAATGACAGGATAATCACACCCATAAACAAATTTGCAGAAATATTAAGATTAGCAAGTCAAATCCCATAGCACATAAATGGCAGGCTGAGCTGATCTTTGGAGTTCAGGGTGAGCACAGTGGTTGCTGTGAGTCAACTTAGTCCTTGATTTGAAGAGCTGCAGGGTTTTCTTAAAGTACTGGTGATGTTCTGTTTCCTGATCTGGATAGGTTTACTTCATGGAAGTTCATTCAGCCAAACATCTACACACGACTCTGCACGTGTATTTCAAGTAAAAGTTTACTTAAAAAAACACTACAATAGCTATATCATAATCAACTCGGGTTCACCTTGAGAGTACAGGAGGGCATTAACATTAGGAAATCTGTAAATGTGATTTACCATATTATATACCATAGAGAAAATCCTTGTGATGTTGTTAGCTGCAAAAATTTGATAAAATTCTACATTAATTCATTATTAAAATCTAAGCAAATGAGGAATAGGAAGAAGTAGCCTGAAACTGACAGTGTGGGGCTGGGGTGTAGCTCAATGATAGAGCCCTGGGTTTCATCCCCGGTACCAAAAAGAAAAAAGCAGTATTGTGGCAGAGACAGAGTTCATCAAATATCTCACAAGATCCCTGATATTTCCCAGTCTCTTTTGCTGTAAGATTGGGGCCAAATGACTAGTTCTGTCCAGTAGATTGTCAATGAGAGTGACATGCGTCACTTTTAGGTGAAGGCAGTTGAGCCGATATTCCTCCTCCGTTCCTCTCTTCTCTTGCTCCAGTGACCTGGGAGGCTGTGTATTGCAGATGGCATAGATTAAAGATGGAGTAAGGATGCTTCACTCTCTTCAGACTTTGCGTAAGCAAGAAATGAACCCTTATAGTTTTAATAAGCCTCTAAGATTCCAGAGTGTGTGTGTGTTACACTAGTATAGGTTATCCTACTGTGACTAAGAGAACATCTACTAAAAAGCACAGCAGCTCCCACAGTTAGTGGTTAGAACCACTCTGTAAAATCAGGAGCTAGACCCAGGACGACTGCTGTTTCTACAGCTGTTCAACACGTGGGTCCTACTCTGTGCAGGAAGACACATAATTAGAGTGGAAGACACTAAACAGTTACTACCTAGAGACAGGTGGACTATCTGCGTAGTAACTCTATGAGTAAGAGAACACGTTGCTGTAAGAGCTGCATATTTTAAACCAGTTATGCTATTATGTGCCAGTAATAAAAACTTCACTTTTAAAAACATGCCATTCACAGTTGCAATAAAAACTATATGGTACCTAGAAATACATTTAGCAAAAGAACTACAGGAATTTTATAGAGAAAATTATAAAAGTTTATTGAAAGACTTTGAAGAGGTTTTAGTACTTGGGGAGAGAGACTCAAGAACATAGTAATATCATTTCTTCCCGCATTTGATCTCCAAGGTCAATGAGATTCTAGTCAAAATCCTGACAGGATTTTTAAGGAACTAGTAGGCTGATTCTCAAGTGTGCGTAGAAGAGGGAAGAGCCAGGAATATCAAGATGGTTTGAAATGGAGTGAGATGTTTGATCTCACACAAGTGGAGATACATCATGAGGGTTCAGTCAGTCAGAGTGATGTCGATTCCTGCACAGCTAGCCTCTGGAATGTGAGTATCCAGAAATAAACCCCAGACATGTATGAGAATCAACAACATAGATTTTATGTTAGTAAAAAAAGGATGATCTTAGCCAGGTATGGTAGCACACACCTATAATTCCAGCAACTCTTAAGGTTAAGGCAGGAGAATCGCAAGTTCAAGGCCAGCCTCGGCAATTTAGCAAAGCCCTATGCAACTTAACAAGACCTTGTCTCAAAAAATAAAAAGGGATGGGGATGTGGCTCAGTGGTTAAGTGACCCTGAGTTCATTCCCTGGTACCAAAAAAAAAAAGATCTTTTCATTTTCTGGTCCTGGATAACTATTTAATGCAGGAGAAAAACAATATGTATTTAACCAGATTTTGTAATCAAGCTCTGGTTGCATTTTATGTCATTTAAAAATAACATGACTGAAGAATCTGCTGCACTGTTTTGCTTTCCTCTTTGTTGGAGACTGAGCCTGAGGAAATGATATCTGGGGGGAAACATTTCCAAAGTGTGGGAGGCAGGATATTTATAACCCAATAGGTGAAGAGCTTTTAAAAATTAATTAGAGAAAAAGAGGAACATTTTTCATTTTGCTTTCCTGACTGATTTTGACTGATACTTAAAAACTTTTCCCCAACCAGCAGCTGTGACATTGGGGGTTTTACAGAAGCTGAAAGACTTACTTGTCTTTTATGCTTAAAGCATGTCCCAGGTGGATGTGGATTCAGGAATTGAAAATATGGAGGTTGACGAAAATGATCGAAGAGAAAAGAGGAGCCTCAGTGACAAGGTGGGTAAGAGGGAAGCCCCCTTCCAGTCTCCAGTGTCTCCGGAGCGGCCATGATTGGGTCTCCCTGATCTGTCAGTCTACGTGGGTGGGGTTGTCCTTTCCAAGGAGAGTGCATAGCCTCAGTTGCCCTTATTAATGGAAGTATCTCTCAGTACTTTTAATTCATAAAATCCCTCATTTATCTTTGGTTTAGGTTTAGGTTTTTATCAGTAAATTTAATTTGCAGTAGGAACTAATATAGAGCTCATTAGAATTTTTTCTGTTGGTCTTGCCTGAACAAGTAGATCATCGTATCTTTGGCTGTATTCCGAGAGAAATGGTGGGAATTTAAGCCAGAATATGTAAAATCAGTAGCAAGGAAAACCTTTAAGCACCAGGCCTGTGTGTTGTACTGTCGGCCGAGCTTAGTTCCCGTACTAGGGGTTTGTTGGGGTTTGCTTTTGGCGTCACATTGGTGGCAGTTCCACCACTTTCCCTTCAGCTGGGCGCTGGGCTGCGTTAGTAGTGCGCATTGGTGATGACCAGACGCTGGCCTAGAGCTTCTTGTGATGCTGAGCTTTAGTTTGTATAGTTCTTAGAATTTAAGTTCTTACATATATGGTATTCTTATGTATATGGTATTGTATCTGTGGTGGAATATAATGAGAGGTGTTAAATTGGGAGAAAACTCCTAAAGGAAAATTGGTTATGTACCTAGAATGTTAACCTGATCCTTTGAAATTTAGAACCAAAAATAGGCTGTATATCCAGCCTGTATCACATTTCTCACTGAGTTGTTCCTGATAACACCCTTGCTTTTTTTATGCTTTTCTATAAACTATATCAGAAGTTCATGAGACCTAGATATTATAACCTCGAAGTAATAGTGACAGATTCAGTTTTCCTCTTAGTCAGTGCTTGAATGGTTTTATGCATTAAAAAAAAATCCTCATTGTTAAATGAATTCAATCTGAATAAAGTATTCCTGTTGAAGTTTCCAGCTCTTGCCTCCTTCTGGAGATTAACCCCAGATCTTCTTCCTTACCAGGAGCCTTCCTCAGGCCCAGAGGTGTCTGAAGAGCAGGCCTTACAGCTGGTCTGTAAGATCTTCCGAGTCTCTTGGAAGGATCGGGACAGAGATGTCATCTTTCTTTCTTCTCTTTCTGCACAGTTTAAGCAGAACCCAAAAGAAGGTAGGACTCCAGCTCTGCAGGCAGCCTTTTCAGAGCGCTGACAGGAGGCAAGCCCGACGCTGTGCTTTCCTCTGTGTCCACTTGTCTTCCTGTGGGGATGTACATTGATGACAGGGGCACTTCTTGTTGCGTACACTGCTGTTTTGACACCTTTCTTCCCTGTCCACTGACCTCTGATAAATTATTTTGTACTTTCTTGACTTCCACACAAGAAAATTATGTAAGTTAATGGTCACAGAATTCGAGTTTTTTCCTTTTTAGTAGAAGGTAACTTAGAGAAGGCATTTGCTCCTTTATAAAGGTTCCCTAGGGAGCCTGGGAGGTGTTTACAGAGACCTGCTTCAAGTGCCTTCCAGGCCATGTGTAGACAACAAAACAAATAAGTTGGGCTAAATTGCTTAGTACAGGTGGCATCCTGGGGTTCTGGATGACTACAGTGGTGAACGAGGGTCATGGCAGAATGTAAAACTTGAGCCAGGTGCAACAGTGGCGCTGTCATTGTTTCTTCTTCTGTCAGTTGCATGGGGAAGCAGAGGGGCTGCTGGCGTGCTTGCACACAGCGACATCCCTGAGGGGTGGAGGTTTCCGTCTGTTTTACTCACTGATGTACCCCAGTCCTTAGAAAGGTGTCTTATACAAAATAGTCCCACAATAGATGTATTTTAAATGAATGAGTGACTGGTAAGGTGGCTGCCTTTTCCTCCTTATTTGTCCTGTCTTCTAGGAAGAGAAGAAAGCTGTCCGTTCCTGGAGGATGTACAGGCTATTTCTGATTTTATTGGTGTCTTCTTATTCACTCTGATTATGGACATGAACAGAGCAACCATGTGTTTTAAAACCTTGCTATGTGCTATTCTTGCTGCAAGTCTCAAAATCTGTATAACACATATAAGTGGTAATTTTTAATAACCAAATTAGGTGAAATTTCCATGAGTTAGAACTTTTATTTGTTTAGTAAAATTTAGAATAAGTCTGAAGACCAACAGCAAATCAGCTGGAAGCCACAAAGAGTAAGAAGGCCGTTGGACTATGGAACCTGCTGCAGAAAGCCAGATGGTGATTTAGCATTGGACACTCCATAAAATCTTTTGAACTTTGGTCTTATCAGTTGCACTGTATGTCAAGCTCTATGTACTGTGTATACTGGTTAAGAAATATCAACCCTGTTGTGTTTGTGGTGTGATGACCTGACCTCTGAGGGTGGACGTGGCTTCATTTACAGTTAACACGTACATCAGCAGTAACTTCACTGACCCAGTCCATTTTGTTTTTAAATGAACTTTTATTTTGAGAGCAACTCGATTTATAGAAAAATTTCAAAGATAGGGCAGGGAATTCTTGTATGCCTTTACTCAGTTTCCTCTAATGGTAACTTCTGATGTAGCTGTGGTACACTCAGTAAAACTAATGACTAGTGACAAAACGCCAGACTTTATTTGGATATCAACAGGTTGTCCACTAATGTCCTTTTACTGTTCCAGAATCCAGTCCAGGATGTCATACTGAACCCTCTGGTTCCATTTGGCTTATTTGAAGACCATGTGTATGAAGAGCCATGTGTAACCTGTTCTTTATTCTGCCTTCCCAACAGTGTTCTCTGATTTTAAGGACTTGATTGGCCAGATTTTGATGGAAGTGCTAATGATGTCCACTCAGACTAGAGATGAAAACCCATTTGCCAGTCTGACAGCCACATCACAGCCCATTGCAGCTGCAGCTCGGTCACCAGACAGAAATCTTATGCTGAACACTGGCTCCAATCCAGGAACAAGCCCCATGTTCTGCAACCTGGGTTCCTTCAGCGCCAGCTCTTTGTCTAGGTCAGTGTGGTTCACCAGTGTGCACATCTAATTGGGAGTAAAACAGCCATGAAGGATGTAGAAGGGAATGTTCATTTACAATGTTGAACTGTGTCATGGACATTATGATACGTATCATATTTGGGCAGATGGACTTAGTCTTTTTAAGTGACATTATCTTTTCTAAATTGGATTTTTTTTCGGGGGGGGGGGCTTTTCATGGTTAGGTTATTGGTAGTTTAAATTTTAGAAATAAATAGCTATGTATGCTACCTTAGATCAACACAACAATTAGATTGTTATTTAAATGATTATCTGATCTCTGTACTGCAACTTTAAGAGATATGAAATGTAATTATTTAAAAACCTAAAACTTTCTGTTTCAGTTATCTCAAGTTTTGCTTTGATTTTTCTCTTCTTTCCTCCCTTTCTCAACTACTTTAGCCTCTATGAAACTAGTCCAGCTCCCACTACCAGCTTCTGGAACTCGGTACCAGTGCTGAGTCCATCTTTTGCCTCACCTTCCCATGTAGCCCTCCAGACAGCTACGCCTTCTGCTTCCCTCAGCCATCACAGTGTGGCTTCTGGAACTGCGGCGGCAGGAAGCCAGCCCTCGTCCCCACGGTATCGGCCCTACACTATCATGCATCCGTGGGGGCCTTCACCGTGTCCCATCCCACGGTCTTCAGGCATCTCCATCCCATCTAGCTCCCCACGGCTCCCTGCCCTTGCAAGTAGCCCTCAGGCAGTACCTGTCAGCACTTCCAGACCGAGGGCCCCCAGCATGGGCCCAGCTGTGCCTCCTGCTTCACCCAGTGACGCCAGCAGACGTCCCTCCTCCCTACGGATCTCTCCTAGGTATTTTCTTAGCAGGAGAGTTGCGCGTGTGTTTGCAGTGTAGGGAGGGAGATTAACATGGTTTGAAAGAACTGTTGTGTGACGCTGACCTCAGTTAAATTTTGGAAGTTGTTTTGGGTCATTAACCTGTGCCACTAACTAGTTTGGTGGGCATGTGACCTGAGTCCACGCTCTTCCTAGGCTTTGATCACATCAGTAAGCAAGGGCTGCTCTGTGGTACCTCCCGTTCCTCTCCTTTCCCTCCTTCCTTTTCTGAAAAAAGAAACAACTTTGTTTTTAAAACTCTATAGTTCGTGTGTCGTTCTTCATTATAAATTAGTTTCAAAGACTGTGGTCAGTGTGTTATTTGAGAGTGGGGGATCCCTGGGCCACATTTTGACTTTTTGGACCGCCACCAGGGTTGTGAAGTGCAGTCCGACCCCCAGAATGTGGGCAAGTCTGAGCCTGGTATTCTTCCTTCCAGTGGGTGCAGCTCACTGTGGTCACACCTTGATGTTTTGATTTCTGATCACATGTAATTTCAACCTCTTAGAAATAAGCAGTATCAGAATTCCATGAATCCAGTGGCCTCTTCTCTCAAATGTGTCCACTTAGTTCTATAATGTGTAATTTTTTGCATGTAAGTGGATAAAACTTTTAAGATTTTAAAAGACAGCAGATGCAAAGCCTCTCCCTCTTCTTTTTCCTCTGTTCCCTGATGACCTTTTTTGCTTTTGTTGTGGTAGTATGTACGACAATCCTTTCTCCTTCCTCTTCCTCGCACTTTCTGGAGACAGTAGTGATGAAGAAGATGAAGAAGATGATGATGATGGTGATGAAGGTGGTGGTGGTGGTGATGAGTTTTCTTGTGTCCAGTTTGGGTCCAGGTATCTGAGGAATGGAGTCTTACCCTGCATGTGCTTAGGTGCTTAGGAACTAACTTGTATGAGCCCTACTTAGAGGTGTGCTTTGAATCCAAACAGACTAGGGTCCAAGGAGGCAGGTTAGCAATTGTGTTGACATGTGAAGATCTTTTAACTAGAAAAAAGTGACACATAGAACACTTCATGTAGTTGCCAGGTAATTCAGAGGAACACTCACCTGTAATCATTTGTCAGAAGCCTGGAAACAAACCAACTACCATTTGTGGTTAAGTTCAAGCACTCTCAGATCTAAAATGAAGGACCCTTCATTTGGCTATTGCAAAATGTTCTTGTGGACAATCTGCACCGTGAGGCATGTTTTCGTCATGACGATTGCATGGGTTGCTGGTGTTAGCAGTGGCATAGGGGTGGGACCTTGTGTGTTTGTGTTCCCTCCTATCCCCACTCCACCATGCTCAGTCTAGATAATCTGTTGAAGAGCACATGGGGTCATATGTTTGATACAATGGGGCTTCTACTTTCACTTCTAAACTTTCACTTATATTGCTCTGAGTCCCTCCTTTACCTTGTGAAGCCAGAACCCATTTGTTTAAAGAGCCCAGGAATGACTTCAGAAGATGTTGCTGCATGTTCAGCCCCAAAACCAAGTGAAGACCACTACTTGGGTTTTCTAGGCGACTCTGAGCAACAAAATATCTAACCCTCTGACTCTTCTTACAATTTTGCTCTTAAATTGAAGTTTCCTCTGGACAGAGTTGGTATTTGTGCCCAGCACTGTTCAAAAATAACTCCAGGCTACAAATAGAGACTGCAGTAAGGTTAGGTCACTTCATTAACTCTGACTGTGTTCAGAAGAATCATTAGAGAGCACTGAGGAGTGTTGATACAGGCTAAATATCAATTCCAGAAGGTTGATATTTGTATTAAAAAAAATTTGAGAGAGGGGGATCCCTGGGCCACATTAAAAGTGAACATTGCATCATTACTTCTCAAGGAAATTTCCCAAAGGTGTACGTGGCTTTTTCATGTACATAAAATCCTCTGCATGATTGAAGTCATACAGCAGGCATAATCCTTAGGAATCACATTCCATCATTGTAAAATTGCTTTGTTACCTGTTTTGCTGTAAATTATCTGTGGGGGAAACACTCTTTTCTTTCCCTGGCCTATTTAATTCCAACTTTCTTAACAGGTGTATCTCGTCATGGTGCTTTTGCTAACACCTCTCTCTCTAGATTTCTAACATCCGAGCCTCACCTCAGATCTTGATTTTATATCCTAGGAAAAACACTTGCTGGTTGTGTAATAATAGCAGCACACGCTTATTAAGGATGATTCACCTGATACTCTGCTTAAGTGACCTTGTTTAATCCCATGTAGCATTCCCTGAGGAAACTGAGGAACGGGGAGGTTAAAGTCACCAACTAGTTAGCAGCAGAGCCTGCATTCAGACTCAGGCAGGCGGGAAACTGGAGCTCACATTCTTTTCCACCACCCTGCGCTGCCTCTGGCCTAGCCTTCTCCGGGTAGCAGTATCTGCTCTTCTTGTTCCTCACTAGTAATTTCGCTACTGAGCGTCTAGGCATCTTCTCTATTCCTTGGATAGGAAGTACCAGCTTCTTTTCTTGGGGCAGAGGAGGGCAAAGCTGGGAGTTGATAAGCAAGACCTCTCGCATGCTGGGAAAGCTCATTCTATCCCTGAGCTACACCCCAGCCTCATTTTACTCCTTAACTAAGAAATGCCCTTCTGATCTGTTGGCATGCCCCTCACAGGCTGTTGCAAGGAAATCGGATAATCCAGGTTGCAGGTTAGATACTCCAGTTGTATGTTACTCTTGGGTATCAAAAATGACACAACAGAGGCTGTGGCTCAGTTGTAGAGCACTTGCCTAGCACATGTGAGACACTGGATTTGATTCTCAGCACCTCATAAAAATAAATAAATTAAAGTATTGCGTCCATCTACAACTAAAAAATATATAATAATATATATATATATATATATATATATAAAATGGCACAACAATAGTGAAAAATGTATAACACAAACTGTTTAAACAAATGGGAGAGTTTGGGGACACACAGGGCCAAAACCAGGACGAGGCAGCAAACACCTTGTTCACTTGAGTGACCAGCACAGATGGATTTCCTGTCCCTTTCTATGTGATCTTTTGTTTATTTTGAAATAAGCAATTTTAACACATACTTCTAAGTTAGTGTCACAAGAATTAAGTGGAATTGTCTCCATTTTCCCTTCTGTTGGCTCAGCAGAGTTTGAAATCTGCAGATACTTTTGGAAGTAGTTGTGACCTGCAGGCATATGTTGATCATTTACAGTTTTAATGACAGGGACTAATTTAGGAAAGGCCAAACATTCCTCTGAAGTGTTTTCAAGTCTTCTGTGAAATGCACTGTAGGAATTATGAGGAACTATTCTCGAAGGAAAGTGAGTGAAGGGAAAATTGTCTTGTGATTCAGATCCCAGTAGAGTCTTCCTCAGGAAGTTGGTGGCTGGAGAGAAATAGGGTTATGTTATTTTTTATTGCACTTTTGTTTGCTCCTCCCCACCACCCTTCCCTCCCTGGTTCTTCTGATGATTAGATCTCAGCTTAGGCACATGGTCAAGTGGTAAGTACAGTCTTCCATTGCCTCCAGTCAGGCTCGGGCTTCTGCCAAAGAGCCTTCTCCCATGTCCTTATGAAGGAAAAGAAACTTCAACCTATTACTTTCTCCATGAGGTCCCTAAGACTGAAAGGGACAGAAAACTCCAGGTGGCTCAATAAATAAGAGGTAGGCAGCTCCACAGCTAATTTCCTAACTCAGTGACATCATCAGGGACTCTTTTTTTTTTGTTTACTTTTTTGTTTGTTAACTGCTTAGATGCGTCAGTGAAGAAGGTCAGACCTTGAGTATTAGGAGCCTGTGTGAGCAGAGAAAGGCCAGTTAGTTGACAGAAGATTGACGTTTGTCCTCCCATTGCCATTGGTCGTCATACTGGAGGATGCACCATGGAAGTAGTGGGAACAAAACATTTCCCCTCGCCTCTGTCCACTCGCCTCCATCCTCGTGGCATGTAATATTTCCTCCTGCCTTACACATTTGGACTCATTTCCTCTCTTTGGACCACTCTTCCCGCAGAGAGCTATCTGGCCTGCTCTCGGCCTTCCGTGAGGCCTGTGTCAGTGCAGGCTGCTTAGAGGCTGGTTGCCGGCTCTGCTGTGTTAAACAGCACTTACGCACATGCTGCCTCACGCCATCGCCTGTACTCACTTTTCTTTTCCCTCACAGCACTTACCTATGAGTTTGTCATTGATGATCCCCACCTCTAGAATATAATTGCCGCATGGACAAGGTCATCAGTGTAGAATCCAGAACCTGCAACAGTGCCTGGAACCTAGCAGGCCCAGTGTGCACATTCATTGACTGAATTTACACTGCTTAAACCGGCACAGCTCTGACTTTGCCTTGGATTGAGGAAATATAAAATTCCCAACTTTGCATTTAAAACGTTGGTAAATAGGAGGGTGATTATTTTCATTATAGAAGAAAATTTTATGGAGTCCTTTAATGAGCAGGTTTTCAGCCGGGCCCAGTGGCACATGCCTGTAAACCCAGTGACTCGGGAGGATAGGGCAGGGGGATCACAAGTTCAAAGCCAGTCTCAGCAACTTAGTGAGACCCTGACTCAAAGTAAAGTATAAAAAGAGTAGAGATATAGCCAAGTGGTTAAGTGCCCCTGGGTTCAATCCCTGGTACCAAAAAAAAAAAAAAAAAAAAAGTGGGGACGGCTGGTTTGTGGCTCAGCGGTAGAATTCTGGCCTCACACATGCGAGATCCTGGGTTCGATCATCAGCACCACATAAAAATAAATAAATAAAATAAAGGTATTGTGTTCAACTACCACTAAAAAAGTTTTCTCGGTACATTTAGAATGGAATTTAGTCTGCACAGATCTGATGTGTGTCAATCCCTGGAAAAAATTTTTTTAATATTTATTTTTTTAGTTATAGTTGGACACAATACCTTTATTCCATTCACTTATTTTTTATGTGGTGCGGAGGATCATACCCAGGGCCCTGTGCATGCTAGACGAGCGCTGTACTGCTGAGCCCAATCCCAGCCACTGCCCCCCGAGTATTTTTATTGTTTTCAAAAGGATTCAACTATATTTCTGTTAGTGAAGTAATTAATGGTTACATTGAATTGTTGATTTAGTTACCAGAAAATGGCTCACATGTTCTCCCAGGGGAAGGTATAATTTTATATATGTTTTTAAAACTTAAATACAACATGTTTTCAAGATTTTAGAATGGCACAGTGGTAAAAGTGTAATGAATTTTATAACAGCTTTTTGATAATAAAAAGAAATTCAAGAAGAATGAAGTACTACTGAAAACAAATTTGGAGGGTAGAAGAGGTAAGGATCAGGGGGCCCACTGTGTTTCCCAAACTCATCTTGAATACTGGGTCTAGTGATTCTCCTGCCTCAAACTTTTGAATCCCAGGACTGCAGGAGCCCAACCTATTTTAAATATTTAAAAAATGTTTGTTAATAGCATAAATTTATGTATAGAAATAGTACCACATTTTTCTTCATTATCACATTCCTAATTTCAGCCCAGCTCTTTAACCATGAATCTAAAAATCCTTGTTAATCAGTTTGGGCTATTGACTCTTAGCTCAGCATTAATGAAACTGACATTTTATTTATTTATTTATTTATTTATTTATTTATTTATTTATTTTTAATAGGGAATTTTTTTTTTTAAGAGAGAGGGGGAGAGAGAGAGAATTTTTTAATATTTATTTTTAGTTTTCGGCAGACACAACATCTTTGTTGTATGTGGTGCTGAGGATCGAACCCGGGCCGCACGCATGCCAGGCGAGCGCGCTACCGCTTGAGCCACACCCCCAGCCCGAAACTGACATTTTAAATATGTGATCAAGACTTCCTTTGGCATCTTTAGGATTGGTCTTATTGAAACATTGACACACACTGGACTTTACATTTCCTTTTGTGTTAAAGAGTTTTCCCCCCCATTCTGAAAGCCAGCCAGTTGGTTGGTGCCTGATTGATAATCACCAAAACAAACCAATGTCATTTAGTTTTGAAAATTGTCTGAGATCTTCTGAGTCCCTGTGCCTTTCATTGCATTGCCTGGCACAAGATAGGCAGACTGCTGCATAGGTCACTTTTTATGTCTCAGTGAAATACCTGTGAAAATATTTCAAGTGAGAGTGAGGAGTTAAATTGAAGTTAAAACTAAATGGAATGTGTTGCTAAGAATGGAACTTAATTTCATTGGCTGTTGCACAAGCCAGCACTATCTAAGCATGCTGAGTTCATGTGGACACAAAAGTTCATGTGTTATTAGGGATGCCACTTTAGACTGACTCCTTGCAGCTAGTAATGACCTGTTGTCGTAAAATATAAGATACTTTTCATTTCATAGTGTTAAAAATGTGAGAAATATGGGTCTTATTATCAGGAAGATGAATAGCTAAATTTTTTCATTGGAAATAAGAAATATCTTTTTTCTTTTTTTAAACGTCTGTGAGAGCTGTTTCCAGGAAAACTACCCACAGCAGTTGTGTCGGGGTACAAGCTTGCGATAGCACTGTTTATCTTTGAGATGTTCAGTGAATATTGACACTAATGTCAAGCATAAGAGGGAAAAATCACAAATCACTTGAAACAGAGCATAGAGAAATCTTGGCCCTTTCTATTGTGAGGATTCTCCATATTCTAAATTAGGTGGTGGTTTTTTTGTTTAGTTCCCTAGTAAGTTTTCTCTGTACTTTTCTACACTACTCACCTTTCTGCTGTCAGGTCATTCAGCAGATACCAGGTCCCACCATTAAGTAGTAAAATGTACCAAAACATTAATTGCCATAAAGACACAAGCATAGATGTGTTTTTCAGGTTTCCGTGCTGGCCCACCCTAGGCATGTCTCTGGGTGGCCTCGTGGCCTATGCAGTGGGCAGGGATGAGCTGTGTCTCCTTGGACATCCTCTCAGCCTGTCTCCTCCTTTCCCACCGTCAGACCATATTCTAGGTCCTACAGGAGTTCAGATTTGCTGGACTCTGGGCTGAGAACCTTGGACTTAAATCTGGCATTATTTTTTACCTTCTATAATGAAATGCTTTAATATCATGTTTTCATTTTAAGGTTAATTATTTTCTCCCCAGAATTCTAAGATCAGTTATGTTCTAATTCCAAGATCACTGTATATGTTCCAAAACTTGTTATGCATATCCGTTATGCTGCATAACATGCTATTGTGCTCTAAATTCTTCCTGGTCCTTCTAGTTTCTGCCCCAGATTGAAATAGGAACTCTCGGGTTCCTGATGTTCTTCCCATCATTTATCATCTTCTAAATGTAATAATTTTACTCTTCCTCTTCATGCCTTCTATGCCTTGACTAATGTCTTGTATGTATATCAGATAATTTGAGTTAAATACCTAATTTGGTATGAGACCTGTGATGGTGGACATTAACTTTGTTTAATACATTAACTTTGTTTAATTCCCTCAGACCTAACCCTCACTACTATGTTTGGCTTTTGTCTCAGAGAATAGTTAATATAAATAATAACTGTGCTTCACATTGTGACCTGGTGATATTTTCCAAAGCACTTCCACATTATTTCACTAAAGTCTCGCTGCAGATGTAATAGAGGTTCTGGGCTCAGGTAAATATATCAGCACTAAGGCCAGGGCTGGAGCCAGGTCTGCTCACAAATAAAACTTGTTTGTTTTGATTTTACTGTGCTAACTCAAGTTTTTTCACTGAAAATTTTGAAAATCTTGTGTTAATAGCAAATCCGTTGATGTCTCCCTCTAACCGGATGCTCCATGAGCTCTGGTCCTGTTGCCAAATGCTGGATGAATTTTTATCAGTTCTAAACTAGAAATAGTAAAGGTATTTTCTTAGTTCCTTAAACCTGCCCTCCTAGAGCGTTGGGTTATAGCAATAGCGTAGTCTGGCTTTAACCTGCAGGTCTGCCCAAGTGATGCTGCTCAGTGTGATGTAAGTACCTGTCTTATTCCCTCTGGTTAGGTAAGTTGCCATCCTCAGTAAGATGAGGTCCCCTTAGTAGGACCATCAAGTGTTCACCAGAAGCCAGTTTTGTTGGGCTGGGAGTGGGTAAGCCAAGCAGTCAGCTGCAGTCTGTGCTGCATGGGTGTCTGTGCTTTGTGAAGGTTGCAGGGATTCTAGCAGGCTTTCTGCTGCAGAAACAAATACTATCAAGAAGAAATGATCAAGAGGGGGTAAGCACCATCTTTTTTTTTTTTTTTCCTCTTCTCCAAAGTTTGGGAGCCTCTGGTGGAGCAAGTAGTTGGGATTCCTACAGTGACCATTTCACCATTGAAACCTGCAAGGAGACAGACATGCTGAACTACCTCATTGAGTGTTTTGACCGAGTTGGAATAGAGGAAAAAAAAGCACCAAAGGTAATATGAACCAGATTATTAAAGGAAAAAAAAAAAAGCCCCAGTATTTCTTTGATAATCCCCTCTCGAATGGAGAAGTCATTCATTTATTTAGTCAGTCAAGTAGTTTGTTTTAGGGCATCTCTGTGCCAGGCACTGCACTAGCAGCTTGGGATGCATTAGTGAACAAAACAGATTTCTGCCTTCATAGAAGTCACATCTTAGGGCTGGGGTTGTGGCTCAGCGGTAGAGGTGCTTGCCTAGCATGTGCAAGGTCCTGGGTTCAATTCACAGCACCACATAAAAATAAGTAAGTAAAAGTATTGTGTCCAACTACAACTAAAAAATAAATATTAAAAGAAAGAAGGAAAGAAAGAAAACACATCCTAGTGAAGGAAAGACGTGATAGAGCCAAGAAGGAAACCCAGATAGCCTGGTTTCAGAGTCCTCTCTTGACCGCCCTGTAGCTGGCTATGTAGTGACTTATAAGGCCCTACTGATTGCGGGTAGCCAGCGATGGTCAAGATAATAACCAGCGTTATGGAGCACTAGGACCAGCAAGGGTTTTGTGAAGTCTGTGTTGGTTTGAATTCTTACAGTTTCTCAGTGAGCCCAGAGAAGCCACATGTAAGATAGGTGTTCTTTCCAAGAATAAACAGACACCTTAGAGACTAAGGTTGTAATTTTCTGTAGTTAAAGACAGGGTCTCAGTGAGTTGTTTAGCTCCTTGCTTTTTGCTGAGGCTGGCTTTGAACTTGCGCTCCTCCTGTCTCAGCCTCCTGAGCCACTGGGATTACAGGTGTTCACCACCGCTCCTGGCAATAAGGTTAGGTTCTAACTCAGGAAGCTACACCTGTCCACTAAGCTGTGCTGACTTGGCTTCCTTATTCTCTCATTTTTACCTTTATTTTGTTACTTAGTTCTAGCTGTATGTTGGAAGCTAATTTGATTGTCTACCTATTGGTTTCTTATTTGTGAGGGCTCCTTTGGGGATTGTCATGTAGCTTTAGCAAAGGCAAAGATAACAGGTGCATCTCTGAGGTTGGGCCTCTCTCCTCTTTTCTGATCGTACATTCCATCAGAGGCAATGTAGTGGCTGGATGACACTTTCACTGCAGCTTGCTGATGAGGAGGAAATAAAGAGAGGAGCATGCCCTTTTCCAGCCCTCCCTCTTCTGGCCTCTGGTGCTCTTCAGTAGCTTGGGATGATTCTGTTGGTTTCTTGTCCATTTCAGATGTGCAGCCAGCCAGCAGTCAGCCAGCTTCTGAGCAACATCCGCTCCCAGTGCATATCCCACACGGCACTAGTACTACAAGGTTCTCTCACACAACCAAGGTATGCGCAATGCAGAGCCTTATGTGGTATGTGCTTGATGTCAGCAGGGAGAGGACCCTGCATGCTGCACCACATGCAGAGAACTCCCTCGACCTGAAAAGTGAAGGTATTTGAGGCTGGAGCTGGGGCTCAGTGGTAGAGCACTCGCCTGGCACATGTGGGGCCCTGGGTTCAATCTTCAGTACCACATAAAAATAAAATAAAGGTATTGTGTCTATCTACAACTAAAAAATATATATCTTTTATTTTTTAAGAAAAAGTGAAAGTGTTCGATTAAATGATCTGAGAGCCTTTTCCTACTCTAAAGTACTAGGAAAATAGAGGACTGTTTCTTCCTTATCTTCTAAAGTAGTCCAAAATAGATTTTTAAAAGGAATTATTTATGTTCTAAGAGGTCCATGTCTTTTTAAAAGTAGGTTATTTTTTTTAAATGGACAGCAATTATAGATAATTATAATTTAGTTGAAAACAACTGCTTGGAATCAGTGGAGATAATTTAACAAAATGTATAGATCATGAATTTCCAGATTGTGTGGAATCATTTTCTGTTACTTAGTAATAAAGCAGAGTGGTAGAATGGGTAATTTGGAAATCATCCTAAGAACTACTTTGTGTTTGCTTCTGATTTCAGTTTTAATAAAAAGTATATATTTCATTTTCCTCATGCAAAAATATCTAAAGGAAAAATGATAAAATTTACATTTATTCTGTGTGTTCTGTATTATTTTTGTACCATAACCGTCTGCTTTTCAAATATTTCAAAAGAATGAAGATTAAGTACATGAACCAAAATTTCACTTCATTTCGTTTTATTGGCACTGGAGATGTTACAGTGGGCCACTTTACCACTGAGCCACATCCCTCGCTCTTTGTATTTTTTATTTTGAGACATGGTCTCACTAAGTGACAAGGCTAGCTTTGAACTTGTGATCCTCTTGTCTTAGCCTTCTGACCCGCCAGAATTACAATTTTGCACCACGTACCCAGCATACATGTAGCAAAATTTTACGTTACATGGTTAAGGGCTGAGGTTGTGGCTCAGTGGTAGAACACTTGCCTCTCTGGTTTCGATTCTTGGCACCATATATAAATAAACAAATTAAATAAAGGTCCATCGACAACTAAAAAACTATTTTAAAAAATGTTCCATGGTTAAAATTAAGAGTCTTAAAAAGACGACTGCTCATCTTAATTTTTTTTTTCAATTTGGATGAGACATAGACATAAACAATTAAGTAAAAGCAATATATAATGTTTCATTTTTTCCTAATTTTTCTTTTTAGTTGTAGGTGGACACAATACTCTTATATTATTTATTTACTTTTATGTGGTCCTGTGGATTGAGCCCAGTGCCTCACATATGCTAGGCAAGTACTCCACCACTGAGCTACAGTCCCAGCACCTCATGTTTCTTTTTTGAAGGACTCTTTGTAGAAAGAGCTGGGTTCTTTGAAATTTCCTGTACTGTCTCATTTAAAAAGCCAAGAAATGGTTGCCATTCATAAGAACGTTTATCTTTTGCAAAGGACTGTCAGGCAGACTATTTGAAAGATTTGGAATTTGGTGCTTTGCCTGGGCAGTTGGTTCAAGTGCTGTGCTGGAGTGTAACGTATTGACTTCATCACAGCCTTGATTTTCATGGCTCCACAGGTCCATGCAGCAGCCGTCCTTCCTCGTGCCGTACATGCTATGTAGGAATCTCCCATATGGATTCATTCAAGAACTGGTGCGAACCACTCACCAGGATGAGGAAGTATTTAAACAGGTATGGATGTGTGAGGTTTGCTACTACTATATAATGACCTTTAGCCTAACTGCATCTATCTGAGGCTCATTTCCAAATATGCCATATATTAGAAGTTCTGTTCCAAGATTTGAACGTGCATGTGTTATTTGCTCAGAGAGAAGACCCACCTAAGATTCTTTTCTTAAGGAAATTGGTTTGACAGCTGCACTATTGAAATCAGTCAAGCATCTAGTCTTTTAAACAGGGTCTATTCTAGCTGCTTTGGGAGCTAAGAAAGAAACATAAAACCTTATACCCTATTTCAAGGAGCTTGTTAATCAGGGAATACCAGGAGATGGCATAAGGCATGCTGAGCATTTTTCCAGATGAGTACTGCTGACAGGTAGTTCTGAGTCTGTTAAGATTCATAAATTAGTGACCCAGCTAGCTAAGTGGCAGTTCACATGTCACACAGGATCTGTCTCCTTATCACCAAACTAAAAAAGATGCCTGCTATCTTAACATTCATGTCATTCATTATTTCTACACTGTTTTGATATCGTGGTGGTTATAACCAAGTGCAAATGCAGATGTGCAATGTGTAATGGTGAAGCTGTTTACATTGTCTTGGAAGTTTCCTGCAAGGTCAAACAGGTAGCACATTCTGTTTGATGTTTGCACTGCATGTTGTAAAGGGTGCTTTGTCTGAGCTGTAGCTCACAGGCCATTTCCCCTGATGAAAGCATTTTTACAATTTTTTTATACAATTTGTTGCATTACTGTTTCTTTTTGTGTGTGTGTGTGATTAGAAAAACAGAGGCAATCTCTGTAATTGACATGATTCCTTTTACTCTTGTTTTATACATACCTGTGGCATTGATTTTAAGACCTTTTGAGTTCTTGGGAGTTGTATTTTTAGCAGTCTTCAAAGTATTTGTAAAAGAAAATTCCAGGGCCTGCTGTGTACTCTGCCTGGGGTTCCTTGGCTGCTTATCTTCTTGTAACTAACAGGCATATTGAAGGTGGAATAGTGAGCTGAACTATGATGAAACAAGGAACTGCCCAGGCCTGCTGAACGATGCGTTCTTACAGCCATAGTGGGCGGTAGCATGTGGAATGCCTTTCCTATTCAGAAAGGCCTCACAGACAGAGGAGCCCAGTTGTTGTTAACTAGAAAATCCGCCCCAGAATCTGCTAAAAGGGACAGGTTATGCCATTATACTCATGAACAAACTTATGCAGAGGTCACAGAGTTACCTCTTTTTTTTTTTTTTTT